TTCTATGAAGCCAGCATTCCTCTGCTACCAAGACCAGACTAAAACATTACAAGAAACTACAGTCCAGTGTCTGTCCCGAATACAGGTGCAAAACTTCTAAACAAAATTTTAGCAAACCAGACCCAACAATATATTCAAAAGGTAATGCATCATGATTGAGGAGGCTTTATTCCAGGAAGGTTGGTTTAACATTTGAAAATCAATGTAATTCACCATATTAACACACTTTAAAAGATGCAGGAAAAGCATTTGACAAAACCCAGCATCCATTCTTGATAAAAATTCTCAGTAAACTAGAAATATAAGAGACCTTCCTCAACCTAATATAGGACATCAGTGAAAAACCTACATCTAACATACTTAATAATTAAAGACTGAATGCTTTCCCCCTAAATTAGGAATAAGTAAGGATGCCTACTCTCACACTTTCTATTCAGCATTGAATAAAACAGAATAAATTTTAATTTTTATTGAATTTATTGGGGTGACATTGGTGAATAAAATTATATAGGTTTCAAGTGTACAACTCATCTGTTTATTGTATTGGGTGTTCCCTACCCAAAGTCAAGTCTCCTTCCATCACCATGTATCTCCCCTTTTCCCTCTCCTGTCTCCCCCATGGCCCTGTTCCTCTGGTGATCGCCATACTGTTGCCTATCTATGAGTTATTGTTTTTTAATCCCTTCATCTTTTCCACCCAGCCCCTGCCACACACCCCTCCCCTCTGAGAGCTGTCAGCCTGTTCTCAGTCTCTATGAGTCTGTTTCTATTTTGTTTGTTAGTTTATTTTGTTCATAGATGCCACATGTAAGTGAAATCATTCCGCATATAAGAGAACCCAGAAATAAAGCCACACGTATATGGAAAATGATTTTCAACAAATCTACAAAGGCCATTCAGTGAAGAAAGGAACATCTTTAATAAACGGTACTGGAGCAATTGGATATTCATAGACAAAATAAATGAATTTCAATTCATATCTTGTGCCACATACAAAAATTAACTCAAAATTAACTCACAAGCCCACAGTGGCTTTAGAACCAGAGTGACTGTCCCTCCTAAATGTAATTGCTTTACTGAACTATAAAACTTCTAAAAGAAAATACCTTTGTGGCAAAGGTTTCTTAGATATGATACCAAAGGCACGATGCACAAAAGAAAGACATTGGACTTCATCAAGTGAAAACTTCTGCTATTAAAAACCATTGTTAAGAGAATGAAAAGACAAGCCACAGACTAGGAGAGAATATTTGCAAATTGTATATCTGATAAAGGACTTGTATATAGATTACATAAAGAATTTTCAAAACTCAATAAGAAAACAAACAATAAATTGTTTTAAATATTTGAAAAGACGCTTCAACAAATTATGTGGACAGTTAACAGGCCCATGAAAAATGCTTAACATTGGTTAATTATGTAGGAAATGCAAAATAAAACTGCAACGAAACATCACCACAAAGTTAAGAAGACCGACCATACCAAATACTGGCAAGGATCTAGAGGAGAGAAAATCATGCATCCACTTTGGAATATGCTTTGGCAGTTTCTTTAAAAGTTAGACGTACAGCCCTCGCTGGCGTGGCTCAGTGGACAGAGCGTCAGCCTGCAGAGTGAAGGGTCCCGGGTTTGATTCTGGCCAAGGGCACATACTTTGGTTGCAGGCTCTTCCCTGGCCAGGGCCCTGCTTGGAGGCAACCAATTGATGTGTTTCTCTCACATTGATATTTCTCTCTCTTTCCCTCTCTCTTCCACTCTCTCTAAAAACCAATGGAAAAGTTTCCTCGGGTGAGGATTAAAAACAAACGAGAGAGAAAAAAAAAAGTTAGACATACACTTACCATGCGATCCAGTTGTCCACTCTGAGATATTTACCGAAGAGAAATGGAAGTGCAGTTGGCCTTTGAATAACAGTTTTGAACCGTGTGGGTCCACTTACATGCGGAAAATACACTCGGCCCTACGTATCCGTGGGTTTCGCACCGCAGATTCAACCAACGGCGGATCGAAGAAACAGTATTTTCACATTCCCAACCGCAGATTCCCAACCGCGGATTCCCAATTGTGGGTCAAAAATACTGCTTTGGATCCTCAGTTGGTTGAATCCACAGATGTGAAGGGCCAACTATAGTTAAGTTTTGGGGGCGAAAAAGATATTCCCAGATTTTTGAGTGCCCTGGGAGTTGTTTGAGGGTTAACAGTATATTTCTACATAAAGACATGTACATGAATGTTCACAGCCGTTTTATTTGAAATAGCAGTAACAAATAAAAACAAGACAAATGTCCATCAGTAGGTGAATAGATAAATAAACTATGGCACATCCATAAATAGAATACAACTGAGAGCCCTGGCCGGCTTGGCTCAGTGGATAGAGC